AACCTGAGTGCCTAGAGTTAACAACTATTTATTAACCCTTTTTTGCTACAACCTGAGTGCATAGGGATCAATGTCAAGTATTCCAACAAGTAATCCTATTGGACCACATCACTGCCAAGTCTTCCAAAAAGTAATCCTATTTGACCACATCACTGCCAAGTCTTCCAACAAGTAATCCTATTGGACCACATCATTGTCAAGTCTTCCAACAAGTAATTCTATTGGACCACATCATTGTCAAGTCTTCCAATACAGCTCCAGTGAATTTTTGTGACACTGGTTTGCTTAAACTTCGAAGCTGTCATCCACAAATAGTGAAAGTCTTAAGGTTCTGATGATAGTTATGGTTAAAAAAAATTGGGGGGGGTTCAGGCAACTTGTAATGATGGTCATCAAAACTGACCATAATCAGTGATGGCAAACGTAGTTCCAAGAGAAACATAGGACTTTTAACTTTGTTCTTATATCATTAAATTAACCCTCGGTAAAAATCTGAAAAGTTTTAACTAAGACCTACCTTATAATGAAGTCCATATCATTGTTTGCTATAGTAACTCTAACAGGTGGCAAACTGGCCTCGGAACTATCGTAGTGACTTTCAACAGTTGCTCTAGAATGGATAAAAATAGAACAAACTTATCATCCTTTTAGGTAGTAAAAGCATCTACCTATATTATAAGAATGATGAGGGATAAGGATTATAACAGTACTTTCTATTGACATTTATGTTTGTATTTATATATTGTCTGTCTAAAATACATTACAAAATATATATCTAACTAAAAGAGAGTGTACACCTCAGTCCTTTAGATCTTCAACATGGACAAGAACCTGCTCTAGTCCCTCAGTTTTACATTAAAAAATATGGCCCCATTTATATTATTTTAGCATCTAAAAATCCAACATGTATATAAAAATAATGCTTTTTTGTAGGATTGCTTAATTTGCAAAACTTTGCTTTCTGTGACAGAAATTCCTATTTTTTTCTTATGTTTTGATACACGAATTCAGTGTTACAATTAGTTTATTAGCCTATCTTCACTACTAATATTTTTCATATTTTTTGTCTTTTACAGCTCTACAAAGCCAATTTCCTAATTAATTATATACACTACAATTGCTCAACTGACAACTTTTTTTTAATCTCAAACATTGAGACTGCAAGATATGTATTACAATGTAATATCGTTATATAAGCGTCAATGTTTAGGCTATACTGGCATGGTCTAAAAAATTAGGATTTTATAAAGTTTGTGACACAATAAACTCTAACACTTATGATTGAGGAAAGTAAGAAATGTTTACTATGATCGTACCTGAACCCTATTTGCTAATATCTTAAGTTGTCAATGAAATAAAAAATTATTAACATTAGAATTACTGAGAGGGGGATTATATGCTCACCAATGAGTTTCTAAAAACATTTTTCTAAGCTAATTATGCAACAACCAAACTGTGGGTCATGACTTTGTTGGTTACAAGGTCCCTAATAACATAAAAATTACAATAAAAAATAGCAATTAATCCAAACCGTTACTGCGGAGGTCGCTTATGTATCTTGCGTAAACAAAATTAGTGATTTCATCAAATTCTTCGGTCAGGTCTTAACACAGGATGTTTCAATTTTGTTTTGTTTCGATAACATTACAATGTGCCCGAAAATTAAAACTCCTGCAAGTCATTGAATATCAACTTAGTTCCATACAAAATTAAAAATCTTTATGTCATTGGGCTTAAATATGCTTGATGATAAAACAGAACAGTTGCATACCTTACAGCATTTTTCAAAAGTTCTGGAATTATGTAATCCAAAGGAATCTGAATGTACGGAAAGCTGGCGTTTACGTGCCCATCACACTTGATGACTGGAGCTTTTCCATACTTTTCTTCGGATATTTGTCTAAAAAATGATACAATATTAACTTAAAACAAAAGAATTGAAGTTCCCAAGTCATGGCACTGAAAATAAGCTATAATCAAATGTCCCCAAACTAGTAAAACATAGCTTAAAAACTTAACCTTTGACACAAGGACAAGCTTGAGAGGGAGACTTCAAGTAGCATTTTCTGAGACATTTCTAGTCAGGCCATGTGTTATGCCATAGCTGAATTGGAACCCATGCAAGGCCAGCTTTTTTTTTTACACTTTAGTTAGTTTTAATTATTTATTTATTAAAAGATATATAATTAAATATAAATAGACATAACAAAACAATAATTTATAGTACTCAGTACATATTTGAGCAAAAATCAAAGCCATACTCCCCGATTATCAAAATTTTGGGTGCCCCAAATATAATACATGTAAATTTCAAATATGTACTTTAAAACAAAAAAATATATACAAATCACTAGTACAGAATGTTTCCAAACTACTACAATTTACCTGGCTTAATAAATAAGTTATAAATAGATTTAAAGATTCTGTTAGAAGATCAGAGTAGAAAGAGGATGTTTGCATACAAAATAACTACACTCTTAATCCAAGTTAAATAGCTGTAATAAGCCTTATTTAGACGAGAACCTTCTCTCTTTCTACATTCATCAGTCACGTAAAGTTGATTAGCAAAACAACCTTGAAAGTCAGAGAGAAGAGAAGGGATTCTCTGGTGGATTTTATTGATATCTCAATGAATGAAGAAAAGGTAGTAGATGCAAAATTTAGATTCTTGATTGTAATTACATTTTTGTTTCGAATTTGTTGGAAACTGTAGCAGCCTATTCTTAATGTTAGAAAATTAGAGAAATTGGGGCATTGACACACTCGTTTGTAGCAAAAAAAGGGTTAATAAATAGTTGTTAACCCTATGCACTCAGGTTGTAGCAAAAAAAGGGTTAATAAATAGTTGTTAACCCTATGCACTCAGGTTGTAGCAAAAAAGGGTTAATAAATAGTTGTTAAGTGGTCCAATAGGATTACTTGTTGGAAGACTTGGCAGTGATATGGTCCAATAGGATTACTTGTTGGAAGACTTGACAATGATGTGGTCCAATAGGATTACTTGTTGGAAGTTAGCCAAATGCCTCGTCATCTAAACAGCGACGGGCATGAATTGATTAACTATATTCCCATTGTCCTTATCTACTATCTAATAAAACCTAATCTAATAATTATAACATTTACTTAAAGCTTGCCAAATTTCGTGAAGAAACAGTTACTACATTAAAAGTTATAGTATGTATAGTTTAGTGATTACAAGGTTGGTCAAAATGACTAAGCCAGTATACGGATAGTTAGGTAAAAAATTCAATAAAACCTGTACTTTTAATGGAAAATAACCATTAATATACAATGATTAATTTTATCCAGTTAGGACTATTTATATAATGAGCTTTTAGTACAACATCTAAAAATGATACTAAAATATTAAAAGACAAAAAAGAAAAGTCAATCCCCTTCCTTCTGTGTCCTGTTTTTGAAATGTTGTCCAACAAAATAAAATGCTAAGATTTACGGAGGGTTACAAGAATGGTTTGTCATTACAGGTGCAAGCCTTGGCACTATGGGTCCTACATTATCAGCCGTATATTTGGTTTACAACAGATTACCAACCATTCAATAACATAATGCTACCAAAGATAGACTCATGGCAGAGGAATTATTAAATGTTGTGAAGACAAAGTAAGAAACTGAACCCCATCCAGAGCAACAGCCTCATCCACAGAAGTCAAAGCTTTGATCATGAAGGTGAACCTTCCAATCACTAAAAAAAAGTGAGGTAAATATGAAGGGTATATGTTTTGGTACCACTAACAAGCGTTATGGAAGAAAAAAAGACCTTGGTGTTTTGGTTGATCGATCTCTTAAGCCATTCAAGCAATATGCTGTTGTTAGTAGCAGAGAAAATATAATTTTAGGTTGTATCTACAGACATATTGAATATAAGTAAAAAAAAAGATTGTAATGTCATTTTATAGGTCATTCATTAGACCACATTTGGAGTATTATTTTCAGCCTTGGGCACCTTACGTTAGGAAGAACATTGATTTGTTGAAAAGGGTTTAGAGGAAGGCTACTAGGATGATAACCTGGGATGGAAAGGTTGTCAAACGAGAACAGTTTAAGATCTCTAAAACTGGTTTCTCTTGACAAAAGAAGAATTAGAGGGGGATCTGCATCATCTTTTTTTTTTGGTACTCAATGGTTAAAATGGTAGGACTAGAGGACAAAAATATAAATTTTGGTAGAGTAGAAGTCATCTCCAGCTAAGACAGCACTATTTTTCTAACAGGGTGGTTGGCCTTTGTGGTAAATGCAGTTAATTTAAGGGAATGATAAGAGCTGGCTTTGAGTGTTTCATTTTTATTTTAAAGTTTAGTTTAGTAAATGGGATCCAAGATGGAGCCACAGGTCCTTAAATTATATGTATATGCTTGTATGATAAGAAATAATTTAAGTTGACAAAGGTTCTTAAGCTTTGAGTCATATCTTGAATCACAAGTAATCCTATTGGACCACATCAATGTCAAGTCTTTAGAGAATCAGGTTTTGTCTGTGAATTTATGAAGCATTTACTAAGTCATTCTGAGTGCAAGATGGCTTCCATGTTAAGAGTAATAATACCATTTTACAGTTTTCAAGTTTCATTTGCATAACCTCTAGAACCTTCTAAATCAAACTTTATATTTTATCTGTTATTTTCTTTACCCTAACACTTAACTGTACTGCAATCGCCAATCAAGAATGAAATGAAAATTTGAAAAATTACAAAATAAATCTAATTTATAATTTTTTCCTTTTTAGAGTGCCTGCTCATTGAAACAGTGTTCTTATAGTCAAAGCTAAAGCTTTTCAAAATTGCCAGAAATTTATTTTATTACTTTAAAGCTGTACTTTAGATTCTCTACGGTGAAAGTATCATAGTGGGACATCTTTGTGTAAACAAGTTACCAGCATGCTCGTCGAATTTTGAAAGCTTAAAAAAACACACAGAATTCCAACATACATTTTAATACAACTATATTCTCCACTCGGCTTACTAACTGGTAGGGGATACCACAGGGGAGCTAGCATTTGGATCTGACCCCCCCCCCTATATTACCCACTGGGGCCTCCGGGTCTTTTTGGTGCATTGAATGGGTACACCGGCTATTTAACATAAAAAAAGAAAAACAAACTCATGCATGAATATATCACACAGTTTCAAACTTAGGTACAAACAAAAAGGTGACACTTAGCTGTCACTCAATGTGACATGGATCCAATGCTAAAATCAATCATGTACTGTGTTAAAATGTAGACATTTTTTTATGATGATAAGTATTTACTTTATATATTTCTATACACGTGAAATGAAGATATCATCAATGGAATAAAACAGTGGATTTTTCAACATAATACTTAACATTTTAAAAATATATAATGAATTAGTTGTGATGAGGAAGTGTTAGTAATGTTAATTATCCTATTAACAGAAGCAAGTCAATCTGAACATACCCATGCATGGGTCCTGAAGGTAATCTGTTTGATTCTTCCAAAAGAGTAGTAAACACATCAGATTCATTGTCCTCCTCAACATTTCCAGCAGTGGTGAAATGATATTGCGTCACTCGGCTTACTAACTGGTGGGGGATACCTCCCCCACGATCTGAAATCCTACAAAAAACATCATTATAAAAGATGAGCTTAAAAAAAAAACCCACAGAATTCCAACTTACATTTTACTACAACTATATTCTCCACTTGGCTTACTAACTGGTGGGGGATACCTCCCCCACAATCTGAAACCTTACAAAACCATCATCATTATAAAAGATTGGAAGCTCAACTCTTTAAACCCGTAGTTTTTGTGCATTCTGTCAGAATTATTTTTGTGATTTCCTAATAATTATCACCATACCTGTTCAAAATTTCAATTTTATTAATTTTGTTTTTCCCTTCAGCACCAGGGGTACCCACATGAAGCATTGTTGAGTAAATAGCCTCAAACCTCCCCCCTGTTGAACATTTGGTGTCACCATCTAATAGGTAAATCAGGATTTTTGGCTGGATGTTCGCAGCGTCCGCTCAAGATTAAGGAGTTAAATAAGTTGGTCCAATGGTTTGCCAGTTATAAGTGGACACACACACACACACACACACACACACACACACACACACACACACACACACACAGAG